ATTTCCAGATGGATATGTGGAGCAAATCCATCTGGCGGAGTCAGGTAAGATAAAAAGCACCCCACAGCATGATGCTGCCATCACTATGCTAACTTTCTTCTACAAATAACACTTTTGCTTAAATGCAGATTTTGCTGTGAGCCCCTGAATCGCTGGTAACACAACTACAAACAGATTTGTTGAGTGATTGACTTATTGTTGTTCAAATGATTCTCCTTCATTAGGTAAGAATATCTGCTGCTCCTCTAAACCTAACAGGGCTATTTTGGTTGCTTCTTTAAATAATGCACTCATTGACCAACCTTTCAATTTAGACGACTTCATTGATGAAAGCAGCATCGTTTCACTTCGAATGAAGGTTTGAGTAGTGGTTTCCTAGATATTTATATTGTTTTAGGTTTTTCAGACAAAAGAAGGCTTTATTATATTCATGCCACACTATTCTGATTATTATTTGTTTCAGAAGAAATAAACAATGATAATTATTGTAGTGTTATCGTTGCTTAGTAAAGCATTTCTTTGTTGGTAACTTACATAAAATCCCAATAAAATCCATTGAAGCTTGTGGTTGTAATGGGACAAAATCTGAAAAATGTAAATGTGTGTAAATGATTTCTGTCTCAGGTTTGTTGAAGGACTTAATACCAGCTGTTATCAACCAGCATGGCTTAGAAAATAAGCATTCAGCTGAACTGTATTTACCTCTGATTTATGTGCGAGCAAACACATAGCTGATGGTGGATCAGGATCAGGATCAGGATGGCGTCATCTAGGTTTTTACACGGATCTGTCAGCAAAGGTGTTATCTTACCTTTCCCTCTTTTTTTTTTACAGAAGAAAAAACAAACTGGTATCAGTAATTTCTAAGGAATACAAGTAACTACTTCCTCCAGGGAAAAAACAAGAAAAATTCCTCCCAACTTGCAATCAGGTCAAATTCCCAGGAGCATCATCAGAAACTCGTTGGTAGCAATAAAAAACAGAGCTTCCTTGATGGTAGTGATATAATTAGGATTACACCAGGAAAATGTTATTTTGGTTTTATTATTTTTCGTGACAAGACAGTGAATCAAACACGAACAGCATCGTGCACGATGTGTTTAGTGTTTATCATTTGAGCTCATTGCACAAATATAAGGAAAAACAAAACAAAAACACATCAAGCAAAAAAATCCCCTGGTAAGGACTGCTCTGAAAATAGAAAAGAAGGTATGTGGAGGCAGCAAGGGAGACAAATATGTTGCATGTTGTTAACAGAAAGCAGCAGGGAGGAAGGTATGGGGAAGGAACGGCTGGGGATGATGGGACTGGAACAGATCGAATAAGGAGGAAAAAGACATTTGTTTCATTTTTAGTAATTACAGCAACATTTATCTACTGTTTATAAAGTTTATTTTAAACACATATTATATTTGACCTCTTCTACAGTCCTATGTATCTTTGTCATGTTTCTAAAAAATCTTGTTCAGCCTTTTTCTTAACAGCAACCCTATAATGCCAAATGTATCGTATTTGATACATACGGTTTCTGAAATGTTTTGCATCTGACTCCTTTTGCATAATTTAATGGTAAAAACTTTGCTCAAAATCCTATTGTACACAATCAGATATACCTGATAACATCCAGTAGATGACTACACAAAAAATAATCTTGACTTATCGCATAGTAATAAATTATTAATATAAAAAATGTATTTTTGTTTTTTCTTTTTACATATTTTGTTAAAGGGGCAACTAAGGAATTCAGACCAAAAAAAGTAATTTTCTGTTTTGTTTTATTCTTGGATCAGGCTTTAAAGGGTTAAGGTTGTTGTTGCTTTTTTTATTAAGGTATTGTACTGCGTTAGAAAGTTTCATCTAGAACTACAATCGATTACACAAGAGAGGCGATTAAAGCTAGAGGGTCTGTCTGCTGATCGTTTGTAGGAAATCCAGAGTGAGTAAGCCTGCTTTCTGGGAGCAAAGTGCTCTATGGGGAAAGTGTAAAACTATCAGAAAACAAACAAACCCTGTATAAGAAGCCTCACAGAATCAAAGCTAGCTAATGAGATGCCATGAAGAGAAATGACAATGGAAAAGAGTTTTTATTTCCCTTTTTGTCTAATTATGCATAAAATGGCAGTAAACTGAAAATAAGACATTGTGTTTATCTTAAAAAAAAGGTGAAATTCCTTAAAGTGAGCCATGGGTTTGAATATATTTACAGGACAATATATTTTAAGTTTTGAAGTCACCACATTAATGATTTACTCTGATATAAACCACTGATTTAGGCCTGACCCGACCAAAGGACTTGTTCCAGTACGTCTATCGCCTCGTTTAACTGCCCTTAACACCTTCTTTGATAAAACCTGTCAGCATAGGCACACGTGTCTTCAGCTTGCGTGTTCTACCATTTCCATTTTGATAAGAGATTGAAAAGCTCTCCATGAGGCACCAAAGCTTTTTAACCTAATCCTGTTTTAAGGTTTTTTTCCTCACATGTCCTCTAAAAGACATTGAAGCTCTTTAAGGAATATCTTTAAACCTAAAGGTCACATTATTTTGTAAATTCTATCAGTAAAATTATACAAAAAACTTATAGCTAAAACTTCCCCATTAATAAGCTACTTACTTTGGTCAGTTATATAAATTAAAACACTAGTATTTGTAACTGTACTGTAATATCAAGATGGAACAAATGGGTATAAATGCTTTTGCAATCTTATTCGCTACCATTGTTTTTTTCTAACATGTTTAGTCAAGTGAGCAACTTTAATGAAAATAGAGATGTTTACTGGCACAGGCAGATGAATCTCAGTGTGTCACAAGTACTTTGCAATGAGAAAACTGACTTCTCCAACTTGTCTTACAAAGTTTATTTTCCTCATTTAAGAAATCCAGATGACTAGGTCAATTATAGACCTATATCTAATCTGCCTTTCTTATCTAAAATCTTCTTGAGAAATTAGTTGCTTAATAAGCATGTCACCACTTGCTCCATATGCTTTCAGCCTCATTACAGCACTGAAACAGCACTGGTGAAAGTCACTAATGATATTCTCATGGCCTCAGATAATGGACTGGTATCTGTACTTGTCCTATTAGGTCTAAGTGCTGCTTTTGATACAGTTGATCATAATATTCTTTTAGAAAGACTTGAATATTTTGTAGGAATTAAAGTAACAGCACTAGACTGGTTTAAATCGTATCTATCTGATCAATTTCAGTTTGTTCATGTTAATGACAGATCTTCAACATGCTCAAGGGTTACCTGTGGAGTACCACAGGGATCAGTGCTAGGACCAATTCTCTTTACTGTATATATGATCCCAGTCGGTAGAATTATTAGACAGCGTGGGATTAATTTCCACTGTCATGCTGATGATACCCAGCTATATCTGTCTAAAAATCCAAGTGAAGCTAACCCATTACATAGATTACAGGCATGTCTTGAATACATAAAAACCTGACTCTTAACTTTCTCCTTCTGAATGCATACAAAACAGAAGTTATAGTCTTTGGACCAGAGTCTTTGAA